TTAAGCTACCACAAAAGAGGAGAGAATAGCTATAGAGTTAGAGAGGAGGAGAGCATCTTGAGGCCTTGTATCAAGGTGTCGCTTGAGAGGGAGGCCATAAAAGGAAGATGAGGGCTCATCTCTATGTATAAGCTATGTATTCTCCATTTCTTTTGCCTTAGTGAAATATTTGATTGATTCTCTCCCGTGGATGTAGATCCAGTTGGATCGAACCACGTAAACGATCTGTGTTTGCTTGTGTTCTTTTTCGTCTCATTTCTATGCCAGGAAGTACATATCTCGCAACAAGAAATCTATCTTCATTAGTTTCCGTTTGTTTCTTCTATTATTTCATAATGGATATAACTTCTTAGTGGAGTTCTATGTACTTTCTTAATGACACTCGAGTTCTATATACTTTCTTAATGACACTCGAGTTCTATTTGGACACAATTATAACTGTTTGAAGTAGTAGTTGTGAAGTTGTTCTACAAAAACTACAGAAGTTATTATAAATTTTTTTATTTTTTTGAAAAAATTAAACGATAATTTTTTAACAGTCAACATAAATAATTAGGACTGATAAAAAAGCATAATAAGAATTTTAAAAATATACTTTAATCCAATGCCTCGAATTTGAAAACCTTTAACACAGTTTTCTCCGGTAAACTTCGATAAATCCGAAGCGCCGCCATTTTTTACAGAAAGCAAATCATGCGAGCACGACACGTGTATCCCACAAGACGGCACGCGCATCCCATTCTCCCCGTAAATCCCTCCGAAGTGCCAATCCACTTCTCCGACGATAGCACAGAGACTGTTTTCAACCCAAAAGTCTGCGTCTTCCTGGACTTTACAGAGCTTTTTTGAATGAAGGCAAGTCATCTCCTTCTAATCTTAATCCACTGTGTTAAAAGATCTCTTTTTTCTTCTTTTCGCAGCGCTTCATTTCACTTTTCCAGGTGTTTCAGTTCGGATAACTATTAAGGGGGCGGGATACTAGGGTTAGGGCTTTCGGCTGGATGCAATTTCGTACCGGGGAATGCAGATGGCTGCGGCGCATCAAAGGTCAGTGTATCTCACCGCCCTATCTCAGGAGATCGAGAGGAAACTCCAAAAGGTGAGATTTCTTGTTTCCGATCAAACTATTTGCAGCTACAACCGTTTGTTGGGATTTGGATTTGGTTTTTTAGGAATGAAGTTCGTGGGAGTTGGATTTGGAAAACCTAAAAACCTAAATGGATTTGTTGGGCTTGGATTTGGCTGTCTCTGGTTTTCATTTTGTTGGTGGAAGAGATCCTGAGTTGATAGATTTTTTGATACTGTGTTTGCAGGCGCTGAACTCTCCGTCCCAAAGGCTTCAACTGTTGCAGCAACTGTTTGCCGATATAGCGCTAGAGATTGATGACCGAGCAAGAGGTATGGATAGATGCGTTTTTAGAAGTTTGCATGCATGCCACTCAATTCTTATGTATTTACATATCTAGCAATTAAACCTTAATTTCTTACAGACATGCCACCTTATCCATGCATGCAAAGCTGTATTTCACTTTCATAAACTCAAAATCGCAGCATCTTTGATGTGATATGAAGATTTTGGGTGATATTTAAGTGCAAAAGCTAAAGTTTAGTTGTTAGATATGTAATTACATAAGAATTGGTTAGTATGTATGTAAATGCCCCAAGTTTTGTTACTTGCATGGCATTAAACTAAGAAGCAAGATTTTTCCTTTTTCAAACTTTCATTGTGTGCCGTACCCATACCTTAATCATGATTTTGATTCCATCTTTGTGTAATTTATGCACTTAAAAGTTGTCAGGAAATAATTGTTTGTTCCAAACCAACCTTTTTAATTTATTGCTGAATACTGATACTTGTGAATGCCTAATTATTTTTGCTTGATTGAAAACAGAAATAATTCTTAGCAAGGATGAAGATAAAGTCACTGATGCAGATGAAATTACTGAAAGCCGCTTATGCTTTTATGATGTTATGGCAAATCATTTTGTCATTAAGCCTGAAAATGGGCAGCGCATTCTCAATTTGATTGTTCTATTATGGAGCCAATCTTTTGCTTCGCATATATTTTCCCTTCTTTTCCATAAATGGGTATGTATTTATAGTCAAGTTATCATTTTAAAATTACATATTTGCTTTGCATTTAACTTTAGGAGCATTTTACACACATAGCACACAAGGCTTATGGATTTACATATCTTACACCAAAACTTCCATATTTACACCCATAGCACTCAATTCTTCCGCATCACATAAAAAATAACACTAATTACCACTTTTTAATAGTCAAATCCATCTTTTCATGCATTTGTAAAGTGTTATGCATGTTAATATGAAAGTTTAGGTGCGAGATACGTAAATCCATAAGAATTGCATGATGTGCATGTAAATTTCCCTTAACTTTATCAATTAAACCGATGTTTTTGGTACAAGTATTTGCTATTTTTGTTCACCATGATGAATTTTTTTTTTTTGTTCCTCTCTTTTCAAGCATGACCAACAAATCTTTTTAGTTTTTAGATTTATATTATTTTATGGGATTTTTACATTCATAGCACTTAAAAACTTCTTATTTATATATCTCACACACAAAATATTATATTTACACACATAAAAGAAACATCTAAAACCTCCAATAATCCACAAAATTAGCATTGGTTTTGTCTTGCTCCATCAAAGTCCCGACTACAACGTAAAAGCAGGATAGGAAACCAAAAAAAAAAGGGAAGATTTACATACATGCCACTTAATTCCTATATATTTACATATTTAACACCTAAACTTCATTTTTTTACATAAAAACAACCTGACCTATGCCTGAAAAGGTGTATTTTACTTTTTAAAAGTTAAAATGGTGTTATTTTTTTGTGATATGAAAGATTTTTGTGGTTAAATGTAAAAAGCAAACCGTAGGTGTTAGATATGTAATACATAGGAATTAAGTGATATGTATCTAAATGTCCCTCAAGATAATGGAGTGACAACAAATGAAGAAGGATTTCTTGAGTTGCAATAGGAGCATCAAGCTTGCCAGAGAGATGGCCACGACCGCCCCTTTGCAGATCTCAATCACGCGATCCAATCCACAAGGGATATTTGGTTCAATAAGTTCTCATATTCTTTTCTCCTCTGTGAATCCATTATTTCTCTTGTAAATGCTTTCCTCTTCTTACTTTCTCTTCTCCAAGTCAGTTTCAAGGGTTGGCACTAGTGATTCGCTGCCCATCGCGAAATTAGAACTACTTTGAAGCCCATTTCATAGTTGCTATCCTTTTTTCTGAATCCATTTGTTTGCTAATTTTTCTATGGCATATGTGGAGTAAGGAGGAACTATCCAATGTGCCGTCATTCTAGGCTTCGCCTTTTTATTGATCTTTCAAGGAGAATAAGTTTGCATACGAGCTTCAAAGAGAAGTTCACTTTTTGTGGAGCCGATTGCTAGCTAATGGATATGGTGAGATGCAAGAAGAATTGAAGTGTTTTTTCTTCTCTTACTCTATCTCTTTCTACGTTCATCTCCCAACAACGACTTTGGTATTAGAACAACAAGCACGAATCTGGCATATTTCATGGAAAAAAGTTAACTGAGTGCTAATTTTTTGAGTTATTGGAGGTTTTAGGTGCTATGTATTTAAATATAACATTTTATGCGTGAAATATGTAAATACAAAAATTTTAAGTTCTATGTGATCCACCTTAATTATTATCAATTGGTTCTATGGTGACATATTGGTTGTGGTGATTACATATTTCTATGAAAAGCAAAAATGTTTTAACATTTTTCGCATCTTGTTGAAGTCTTTGACACTCAGAGCAACTCAAATGCTAGTTATTTCTCCAAAATAAAGGCTCAAGCTTGCATTTCCCGTGAAATCATAATTATCTAGCTTTGTGTTTGATATTGTCACACTTGCAATATTGTAGGTTACTAATACGAATCTTGACGAATCTTCATAAAAATTAGGGCAATTAAAATTCTTTGCTTCACCGACACAAAATAGTACAACTCAAACACATAAAGATAAATACTTCGAAAGGCAAGCAATATCTCCCAACACCTACAATTCGAGAAATAGGTGATCTCTTCCAGACCCTAACCCTAAAACTCAAGACAGCAAATTAATAGTATAATCTAACCCTAAGCACAATAAGCCCTATTTATACCCCACAATATTAACTAATAAAAGATTAAATTGTCCTTAAAGGACTACGTAACAATACACCTCTCCCAAAAATACATATTGTCATCAAGGTGAGAAAAAAAGAAAATTGCTGCTGGATCACGTTATATGGTCCCCAAGCAACGACATTATCCGACAACCCTTTCCATTTAATCATAAATTCATAGTGGCTCTCATGAGTTTGAAATTCATTCATATGCTCATCTTTCAGCCACATTCAAACTTGTTGGTATCTTGTCCTTCAAGTTAATCTTGAAGAAGATGATTGTTCCAAAAAGCTCATTAGTCACTAGAATAGAAAACTTGTTTATTATTCTTGTTCATTATTGTTTCCTTGTTCAGAATCCTGTAGTCCACACAAAAATTCTCTAGTTTTGATCTTTCTTCACCAATAAGACTGGACTAGAAAATGGGCTCACATTGGGCTAATAATTTCTGTCTCGAGCATCTTTCTGATCAACCTCTCAATCCAATCCTTCTGTATCTAGAGATACTAATATATTCTGACATTGATAGGAGGACCCCTTCCCTCAATGTAATAACATACTGGGTGGCGGTAAGCTGCTAAGCTGTTGAAAGATGTCAGAAAAATGTTGCATAAGCCGCTGAACACACTTGGGTAATTCTACTGACTCTAGATCCTAGACTTCCTCTGTACTCTTCAACTCTACTAAATAGACCAATTTTGCTCCCCGCATCGTCTAAACCATGGTTTTGAGCGAAATCGTGGTTATGTACATGCAAGTAGGGGTCTCAAAAATTGACCCGACAAGTCAAAACGACTCGAACTCGACTCAAAAAATTTAGGTTAGGGTTGACCCGAATATATTTCGAGGGGTTCGGGTCAGAGAATTCAATATGTTTATTATTCAAGTCGGGTTCGGGTTTGGGTCGAACCCGAAAATCCAAACATGACCAGAATAAGCATGAAATTTTGGGTCGGGTTGAAGTCTTAGTTTTCAACCTGTTTATTATTCAGGTTGGGTTCAGTTTGATTCTATTTGGGTCGGGTCATTTTTGGGTCGGACCCGAACCGACCCGCTGACCTGAATTGACAACCCTACAAGCAAGCATCCCCTCTCAACTTTACCATCCTCTCCTCCACTCTTCTCCATGGTTAAGGATTTTCAATTCACCTTCGTCTCTCCAATCATCTGCAGCCACTTCATCCTCATAAACAGTACTTCCCATATCTAAGGGAATAAGGCTCTCCATCACTTGTATGCTTTGTAGCGTCAACACCAATCCCTTGTAAATTCCTCGGCTTTCTCTGCCTTCTTAGTCCCCATCATAACCCAAAAACTTCCCATTTCTACTAACTTCAATCCCAATTGGTCCACGACCCATTTTGAGATGAAGTTGTGAGTGACCCACTATCCACTAACACCATTACAGACTACTCTTCGATTTTCCCTTCACATTCATTATGTGATTTCAAGTAAATCTCTCCATTGAGTGGAGGGACACCTCTGCTACATCAAGGTGTAAGTGCTCATCTCCCTCCACCACTTCTTTCTCCAACATCTTACTACTGCCTCCTCCCCACCACAAATTGTAAGGACCTAGTGTGTGCGATCCTTGCATAGGAGGTCTGGTACATACTTCTCATCACATCAGAAACACAATCCCTTTGCTCTTTTGTCCCGCACCTTTGTCTCAGTGGGCCCCCATACCCCCCTTCTTTGGCACGACCCTCTAAATTGACATCGCCTGGGTCCTCGATGTCAGGGTTGCCGAGGTACGTTTGTAGAATCTTATCATGGTGCTGCTTTTGTTGGTCTTTTCCATCCTTTTCTTGTCTTCTACCATCAATACTAGCTCCATCATCTCTCCTAGTCCCAACTGTCTCAACACTTGGAAAGTTGCAAGTCTGTAGGGCTTTAAACTCTTTATGAAATTCTCTTCTAATACTCCTTCATAAATCCTTCTTAACCGCACACACAATAATCCCTATACTCCATGACAATATTTTTCTGAGTCAAGACAAGGAATTCCTCCTATTGATTTCTTTTTTGAATATCCCATAAACATTCTAACAAGCAATTCTTAAATTTTGCACACTAGCAAATCAAGTATCTTGCCTCCTACTGAAACTTTGTTAGGGCTTCTCACTCCAAACATAACCCTATCGCCATGAGCTTCTCCT